AAGGAAGGGAGGAAGGAAGGAAGGAAGAAAGGAAAGAAGGAAGGAAGAAAGGAAGGAAGGAAGGAAGGAAGGAAAGGAAGGAAGGAAGGGAGGGAGGAGGGAAGGAAGGAGGGAAGGAAGGAAGGAAGGAAGGAAGGAAGGAAGGAAGGGAGGAAGGAGGGAAGGAAGGAAGGGAGGGAGGAAGGAAGGAGGGAAGGACGGAGGGAGGGAAGGAAGGAAGGAAGGAAGGAAGGAAGGAAGGAAGGAAGGAAGGAAAGGAAGGAAGGAAGGGAGGGAGGAAAGGAGGAAGGAAGGAAGGAAGGAAGGAGGGAGAGAGGGAAGGAAGGAGGAAAGGAAGGGAGGGAGGAGAGAGAGAAGGAAGGAAGAAAGAAGGGAAGGAAGGAAGGAAAGAAGGAAGGAAGGAAGGAAAGAGGGAAGGAGGGAAGGAAGGAAGGAGAGAGGGAAGGAGGGAAGGAAGGAAGGAGGAAGACCCCACCCACAAGGTCCTTTCCAGTTTTAAATCTATGATGCTGTGATCCTGATACACTTCCAATATCTCTGTCTCTAAGGACCCAAGTCCTTGTAAACCATTTCCCAAGCCCCAGTTCTGAAGCCTCAGTCCCCATGAAATTTCTGAAAAATGTATTTAAACTAAGGCGTAAAGGACAGAGTGTATTACTACCCCTCTTGGGCTGCTTTGATCACAGAGAAAGAACAATGCTTCACCCAAAGAAATTAATTATCAAATGGTTAAAACTTCAGGACACGTAACAGGGAGAAGGACTTTGAATGACGAAGCCTTTCAGGAACTCCCCAGATCTCATCTACTCTGCTGTTCCCTCGTGTTCTCCTCACTCCCATGATCACAGCGTCCGTACCTCACACGCTTCTGCTCCATAAATGACCCTGATGGAGTAGAGAGAGCCCGGGGCTGGGACGTCAGGAGGCCTGGGTTCTAAGCCTGGCTTGTCTCTAATTTGCACAGCGTGACCTCGACCAAGTCCCACACCCCTTTACAATGTTTACAATGAGCTTTCTTCCAAACAGTCCTATGGGGAGGGAGGGCTGGAGGCTCTGTATTCCCATTTTAGAGATGAGACAATTGAGAAGTAAAGACAAGTGAAGACAAAGAGAGTTAGGACTTGAACCCAGCTATCCTTCCTCCTTCCTGGGAGCCCCCACCCACAGAATCACAGGATTTGAAGCTGCATTATGGCCTTAGAGGTGTGTAGTACAACCCTCTCATTTGACAGATGGAGAAACTAAGTCAGTTGGTCTAGTCCCACATTTGACAGATGAAGAAACGAAGGCCCAGTGGATAGTGTGTTGGGCTTGCAGTCAATAGGACCTGAGTTCAAATCCAGCCTCAGTATGACCCTTACTAGCTATGTGACCCTGGGCAAGTCACGTCACCCTGTCTGCCTCAGTTTCCTCATCTGTAAAAATGAGCTAGAAATGACAAACCACTCCAGTATCTTTGCCAAGAAAACCCCAAGTGGGGTCACGAACAGTCGGACACAACCAGAACAACCGAACAACAATGACAAGAGGCACAGGGGGGAGGAGACTTGCCCAAGGTCACATGGGTGGAATGTGGCAGAACTGGGCATTGAAACCTCATCCTCTGGACTTGGAGACAGGAAGACCTGAATTCAAATCCCACCTCAGACATTCACTAGCTACGTGATCCTATGCAAGTCCCTTCATCTCTCTGGGCCTCAGTTTCCCCTTCAGTCAAGGGAAGGTGGTTGGCCTCGATGAGCTCTAAGATCACTTCCAGCTTGGAATCGGGGTAACTCCCAGGCTCTCCCACTGTCTGCAGCGTAGCCCTCCAAGTCCCCACCGGGGGGGTCTCCATCGGAAAGGAGTCTGAGCACCAGCAAAGATCCGTCCAAGATTCTGTCTTCTCTGACTTCCTTCCAAAGCAGGCAAAGGAGGAGGAGAACGTTGCCCCCCTCGCCAAATCCCGGGCTCAGAGCTCTAGCTCTGAAAGGGACCTCAGGGGCCCCTTCCTTTGACAAAAGAGGAAACTGAGGCTGAGTCTCTTGCCCCAGGGCACACAGGAAGTTGCCCAGATTTAGAGCCGGAGAGAAGATCAGAGGCATCTGGACAAACTCCCTCGTTTTATAAGGGAAGGAATTAAAACCAAAGGAAGGGAAATGACTTGCCCAAGGTAACTCAGGCGGCGGTTAGAGACACCACGAAGGGGCCACCGGGTCAGAGGGCAGGCGAATACTCACTCTATAATCTTCTTTCTGCGCCGCTTGTTGTTATCACTGGGGTGGTGCCGGTAGGTCCCATAGTCAAAGAGAGAGTCCATGGGGGCCTTCTTGGGGCCGGGAACGACGGAGGATTCATAAATGGTGGACTCCAGCAGGTCCATGGGGTTGGGCATGCCCTTGCGGAATGCCCCATGAAACTTCATGCGCAGGTTTTGCCGGGCATCCCCCTGGGCAGGTGGACTGCGGCTCGGCTCCCCTCCCGCCGAGGGCGAGCCATCCTCCCCTTCAAACAGGTTGGCCAAGGAGGAGAGGGGAAACGTCTCTCCTGGAGGTCCGCTGTCATCCCCAGGGGGCTCGCCCGATTCCCCAGGGCTGGCTCTGGGGGGGTCTTCAGGATCCGTCATGCCTGCCACCCGGTTTCCTCCCACTGATGGCTTACTCTACAAGAAAGAAGAAAGGTAAGCTGAGGTGGAGGTGGGGGATGGACAGTATCTTAGAGGGGCGGGGAACTGACTTCCCTAGTTAGGGAGGGCCCAGACCCAGGGCCACCCAGGGCTTTGGAGAAACCCTGCCCTGCTGTGGGAGAGGCCAGCGCCTGGGACCACCCAGGCCCCCCTAAGAGGGAGCCAGGGCACTGAGCTAAAGGTCTTCTGCCCAGGAAGCCCATGTCTGCAGACACTGGGACTGAGGCTGGCTGTTGTCTCAAAGAAGCCGTTGTAATTAGAGGGGACTTCAAGCGTGGGACAGGCGGCGTCTCCTAGATGTGGTTGTGCTTGGCCAGCCCCAGGAGCAGGGCACAGAACAGGCCCTTCTTTCATAGAACCTATAAATACTGAGTGACCATAGGAGCCCAGCCCAAGAGCCGGGATGCACCAAGGGAATGCCAGCATTTAGAGAAGGAAAGCTTAGCTCCCTCTCACCCCCACCCAGGACCCAGACTTGGACACTTGACAAGAAGAGGGTGGAGCTCCCCTAAGTGAGAGGGGACAAGTCTGGGAGTCAGGACGTATGCAGGCAAAGACCACTAGGCTTGGAGCCAAGGAGGCTGGGTAAGCCCCTAGAACATGACATGATGTCCCACGTTCAAATACTGATTCTGACACAAACTAGGCAATCCTAGGCGAATTATAACTTCCCTGGGCCTCAGTTTCCCCAGGTGTAAAATGAGGGAGATAGACTAGATGAGAGGTATCTTGGCATAGAGTATAGAGGGCTGAACTTGGAGACAGGAAGATCTGAATTCAAATCCTGTCTCACTCACTTAGCTCTGTGACCTGGCAAATCCTGAGCCTCAGTTTCGCTATTTGTAAGATGGGGGTGGAGAGCTGCACTAGGTGACCTTTGAGGTTCCTTCCAGCTCTAAATCTATTAAATTATGAAATTACTTCTTGTGTAACCTGGGGCAAACCTCTCTGGTCCTCAGTTTCCCCCTCTGTAAAAAAAGGAAGGGGTTGGACTATGATCGATAGATCAATGAATCGATGATGCTTATGTTTCCTAATATGTCCTCAAACTAAACCCTCAGAAGCTGAGAAGCCAGGGCAGGTAGGTGGCACAGTGGATAGAGCACTGGCCCTGAAGTCAGGAGGATCTGAGTTCAAATCCAGCCTCAGACCAAACACTTGACACTTACTAGCTGTGTGACCCTGGGCAAGTCACTTAACCCCAATTGCCAAAAAAAAAAAAAAAAAAAGAAGCTGAGAAGCCGGGTCAGAGTGTTGAGAGCATAGGAATGGGGGAGACAATGCAGTGGGTGAGTGGAGGTGGGGACAGGAGGGTACAAAGTTCCTGAATTGCACAGTATTTGGAACAAGAGCTTCATTTGGGGTCAGAAGACCCAGACTCAAATCCTGACTCTTCGGCCTGCTACCTGAGAGCCCTTGGACAAATCTTCCTGAACATCTGTTTACTCCTCAGTAAAAATGAGAGGGCTGAAAGAATTAATTTTTTTTTTTTTAATGAGAACATAGCTGTAAGAAATGATGAGCAGGATGGTTTCAGAAAAACCTAGAAAGACCTACATGAACTGATGCAAAGTGAAGTGAAGAGGACACTGTACACAGTAATGGCAACATTGTAACAATGATCAACTGTGAATGACTCAGAAAAATGATCCAAGACAATTCCAAAGGACTCATGATGAAAAGTGCTCTCCATCTCCAGAGAAAGAACTGAGAAAGTGTGAATGCAGATCGAAGCAGACTATTTTCACTTTTGTGTGTGTGTGTGTGTGTGTGTGTTTTCTTTTGGTCTGTGTCCTCCTTCACAACATGACTAATATGGAAATACATTTTTGCACATGCATAATCTATATCAAATTGTTTGCCTTCTCAAGGAGAGGGAAGGGGAAGGAGGGAAGGAAGGAGGGAGAGAATTTAGAACTCAATATTTTAAAAAATGAATGTTAACGATTGTTTTTACATGTAATTAAAAATATATAAATTTTTTTAAAATGGAAACATGAAACTAGATGGCTTCTGAGGTCTTTTCTAGCTCTCAATCTATGATACAAGTCATTTCACTTCAGCCTCAGTTTCCACATCTGGAAAATGGGGTAATAATGCCAGTTGTACCTATGTCATAGGGTCGTGACAAGGATCAAATGAGACACTGTAAAGTGTTTTGCAACCCTTAAAGTGCTATTGACATTTCAGCCGTTTTGCTTACAGGTATAAAAGAAGCACAGTTAGAGGACCAGCCTCTGGGTCAGAAAGACCTGAGTTCAAATCCTTCCTCTGACAGATATTGGGTGTGTAGCCCTGGGCAAGTCACTCAACCCCTCAATGTTCAGGACAAGTCTCTAAGACTACAAGTTACAGCTCAGTGGCTGATCTGCATCTGGGAAGGGAACTTCCATACTGGGAGTCCATACCTCCCCCCCAATAAATTCACAGGTCCAGACCCCAAAAAACCAACAACAAAATCTCAGGCAAGTCACTTGACTTCTGTGGGCCTCAGTTTCCTCACCTGTGAAATGAAGAGTTTGACTGGGATATTTCAAAGGACCTGGCCAGCCCCAGATCCTATGGACTTGTCCACATCCTCCCTGAACCATTAGTGCCACCCTCGTGGCCCACCTGTGGGGAGGGATCCCAAGCCAAGGTCGGGGGCAGGCTGCCCTCTGTGGACAACAGCCTGGAAAGAATGCATCCTGTCGGTTAGCTTGGCGCTGGGTGCAAATTTCCTGGAGCTTCTAACCATCCCACTCCTGGGGTTGTGTCTGAAAGATCTTTGCTTGTTTTTCTTAATTGGCACAAACACACTCCCCATGTCACACTCTTGCCCACAAAAAATACACACACATATACACAGTCATAAAACAAAAATTTGGCTTTTGTTTGCCCTGTGGTCAGCCAAGGACAACTGCTAAGAGACCTTAGGTCAGAGGAAGAGTTGAGATTCCCCCTAAGGGGGAAGAGAGAGAAAGTGAGGATCATTAAGGACCTAGTCAGGGCGGGAGCCCTTTAGAGAGGAAACCAGCATATGTCCTTTAACCTGGGATCACTTTCCCACAGAAGGAGGAAGGGAAGGGGGGAAAAAACAAGCATTTATTAAGCACCTACTATGTGCCAGACACTGTGTGAAGTGCTTTAGTAATATTCTCATTTGATCCTCACAGCAATCCTGCTATCATTATCCCCCTTTTATAGAGGAGGAAACTGAGGTAGGCAGCAGTTAAGTGACTTGCCCAGGGTCACATGGCTAATAAATATCTGAATTTGAACTCAGTTCTTCTTGAATTTTGGTTCTGTCCACTGGGCCACCCAGCTACCAAAATAGCAGATCTGGAACCTTGGCTTGGTGGCCAGTCATTCTGGGAATAGATCAGCCAGTCATTTTGGGAATGGGCTGGCCAGTTTATCTCTGATACTCAACCACCCTCCTTCAGGAAACGTAGATGGAGACATCAGTCATATCATTAACAGGAATAGCTTGTTAATTATATCTCTCTTCATTTCCTGGGCAGCAAGGAGAGCCCAGAGAGGGCAGTGAGATGTTTAATATAGTGCAGGGACCACCACAATGGTATAATTTGGATAGCGGAGCTCTGAGTCAGGGCAAGGCTCAACCCTTCCTCCTAGATATCCACCTAGCCCCTCAGGAGCCCCATATTCACCAGGAAAGAATTCAATATGAATCCTCTTTATAATAGTAGTATTAATATTCCAAGCCACGAGAGCCTTCCCTATCAGTGATACCTTGTGTCTACTCTGTGTGTATCTTGTGTAGACCTAGTTATGTACATGTTATTAGAATGTAAGCTCCTTGAGGGCAAGAGCTGATTCTGTTTTCTCTTTGTGGTCCCAGTACTTAGTACAGTGCCTAATACATAGTGGATAATCGATAAATGCTTACGGACTAATGGGTTGTTTGATTGATGCTTGATAGAATATAAGCTCCTAGAGGGCAAGGACTGATTTTGCTTTTATTTTGTGTCCCAGTTCTCAGTACAGTGCCTGGTACATCAGAGGCAATTAATTAATACTTATTGATTGATGGATTGCTTGATCAGATCCTTGATAGAATGTAAGCCTCTTGAGGGCAGGTACTATTTAATTTTTTTCTTGGTATTACCAGTACCTAACACAATGCCTAGCACATAGCAGGCACTTAATAGAGACATGTGGATTGATTTGATTCTCCAGTCAAGGGTTAGCTCTTGGTCAACTTTGTCCACCTCCAGTCCAGGGACCAAAATCCAACTCCAAGGCCCCAGTGACTCCCACCCAAGAGTAATAACCCAAGTCCTTGACCAGAACACAAAGCTCACTGGTCTTGACATCAGAAAACTTGGGAAACTGGTTCAAGGGGCAGCTAGACGGCACAGTGGATAGAGCATCGGCCCTGAAGTCAGGAGGACCTGAGTTCAAATCCGGCCTCAGACCAAACACTTGACACTTACTAGCTGTGTGACCCTGGGCAAGTCACTTAACCCCAATTGCCTAAAAAGGAAAAAAAAAAACTGGTTCAGTAACTTGACCAGGCTGGAATCACAGAATGTCCAAGGTGGAAGGGACCTCAGAAGCCATCTGGTGCAAGTAGGAAGTCCAGTGTTCACCTGAAGACCCCCACTGATGGAGATATCCCACCACCTCCTGAGGCAGCCCATTCTGCCATGGGGCAGCTCTCAGGATTAGGAAGTTTTCCTTGGTCTCAAGCCAAAACTGGCCTTCTGGCAATTTCTACCTATTAATCCCAGTTCTCCCCTTTGGTCACGAGTCCTAGATGCCTTCTAAGGTCCTTCAAAGACTGGTCCTTAAGGCCCTCCCCATGGTGGCCACAGTCAGCCTCTATCTACTCACCAGGCTATGAAACACCCACGGGGAGCTTCAACAAAATGGTGTCCTCACAAACCAGCTTCATCCCCATCCTGTGAATCTTTGCCCACAGATCCTAGATCTGGTTTTGGAAGAGGGCATCTAGTCCAACAACCTCATTG